ACAAAAGTAAAACCAATTTTCTGTCTTAAAAGATAACAAAGGCCACTAACTACAGCCATTTTTGAGTTTTAATTAACAACAAAAGCAATCAAAATGTTTTAACTAGTCTTGAGTTTTTGTATGTTGAGTAGGTTGTGTAAGTCTGATCTCTTCATGGGCATGAGTAGAACTGCCCTGTCACAAAACCAAACATAAGGACACAAACATTAACAATGAAAATCAACGACAAAATCAACTCATATTTCCTTTGGTAGATGCAAGACATTCCTAGAGTATATCGGTATAGCTAAAGCCATTGCTTTAAAAATAATCTCTTTTCCCCATGAGACAAATATTTTTTGCGCCATCCTTCCGTCACTTGCTTAACTTTCTCAACAATGTAACTGAACATTTCACCCTTCTTTCTTCCAAATTGTTCAGGAAGTCCCAAATACTTCCCATGACCACCATCATTATGTATTCCCAACATGTTTCTCATTCGACGTTTCACTTCTTCTGAGACTCTACTACCAAATGTGATGGAAAACTTACTCAAGTTTACCAGTTGGCCTGAAACTAATTCATATCAATGTAAGATGTCTTTAAGCCTCTTCCGAGCTTTCGGATTCGCCAATGAGAAAAATAGCGAGTCATCAGCAAGTAAGAAATGATTCACTGGAGGAGCTGACGTAGCAATCTTTACACCAAAAATTGATCTATCCTCAAGGGCTCAATTCATCATACGAGATAATACAAATTAAAATTTAACCGAAAAATTAGAGGAAAAAAAGCATTCTTACCACCAATGTATTACTTATATTCTAATCAGTAAGTTTCTAGTGGTATAAAATGGAAATGTTCTTTTATCTAAAAAAAATATCTCATTTGATTTGAACTTTGGAATCCACTAGAAATATAAATATTTCTATAAAATATTTCTATAATTTTATTTTTAATAGAATTTTTTTTAAATTATTCTATAGTTAAAATAATTATTTTAATATAATTAATATTATCTGCAGAGTTGATGGGTTATCTTCGGACTTTGACGCGGTGGGTGCTGACACAAGATTTTTGGTTTGTGATATTTGGTTCAAATTTTTGAATAAAATAATGATTCGACGTGCAGTGGGGTGAAGCGGGTTGGAGTGGGTTGACCCACAAACCCAACACCTCAAGGCTCTACCCACTTATTGAACTCCTATTTTAATTTTCAATTGTTCAAGCAATTTAAACTTAATTTCAGTCATTTTCTTGTTTATGGATTTGAAATTGTGTCATATAATATTACTACGCCAAATTTGACACTGGGGGATTGTGTAGAGCCAATTTTTGTATTCCTGAACTATGAATGATTTAATTTGGAAGTGTTGAATTAAGTGTTGAGAAATTCTCATGGATAAACCTTTTTAGTTTATTTTCACAGAAATAGTCCTCAGAAAAAAAAGTGACCAAAATAAATTTTTATTCAAGGGTAAATATGCACTTATACCTTTAGATTAACTACTCTACACTTAGGATTTAGAGTTAAGAGGTTGAAATTTGGGTTTAGGATTTTAAATTAAATATATATATTACAAATTTCAAAAGAAAAATGGTTATTTTGGTCATTTTATTCTTTTAGTGATATTTTGTGACAAAAACTTAAAAATAGCTATTTGAGAGCATTGCCCTTAAATGTATATATATATATATATATATATATATTAAAAACTTTATATGGGTCCTCATCATTTTATTTTGAAATAAAAATGATGACATGGCTTAGTGAAAAATATAACATAGATTTCATTTTATTTTAACAAATATAATTTTAATGATGAAGTTTTTTTTTTGGAAAAATTCCTAAAAAAACAAAAAAAATTATATACCATAAACTTAAGTGAAATTCCCTATGATGATCATATAAAGTTTTTATCATAAATACGGTCCCCATGAGGTAAAATGATCAATTTTTTTATAAAAGAGGTAAATAAATATTTATAATCTTAACGTTAACTAATCTAAACTTAGGGTTTAGATTTAATAGATGGAGGTTTTGTTTTTGGAAGGAGGAGAATGGGTGAGGTTCGGAATTTTTAAAAAAGTTAACAAATAATTAAAATTAAAAATAGTTTTTAAATAGTTTTAAAAAGAACTTTCAAATTTCAAATCAAATTTTGAAGATACAAATTTGAAAAAAAAAACATAGAAAGTTTGAATTCAAAAACATCTAATCAAAACTATAAAAATCAATTATATAAAGTAAAGGTATAAAGATCTTTGGCTAATTAATAAAACATATTTTGGTCATTATTTTCCCTGTGAACTCTTTGGTAACAAAATACATTTTAGAGTCATTTGAGAGAATCACCCTAAACTTAAACTAAATAACAGTTTGAAAAATATGTACAATAAATTTTCACATCAACTTCAGAATAAAGCTGCCAAACATTGTATAAATGTCTTTATTTTAATCAACATTAATTGTAAATGTACTTTAAAAATACCAAATAAGTCAATTTTGATTACTTAAATTTTTTTATGGATGACTAGATATTTTTAAATGTTATAGCTAGATCCAGTAATACAAATTAGAAAAAAATAACAAATGATTATTCACTGATTTTAGTTCTATTATTTTTCTTACCGTTGAAGTGACATTTTAAATTTGTATATATACCATACCACAAACTAAAAGTAGATACATAATATATCAGTTTTTTAATAATTTAATTTAAAATGGAAGAAACATCATCTTAAGATAAATAAATTAACAAGTTTTACAAATCAAATTGTACAACTATCTATATTGTCAACATAATTATGAATGTACTTGAACAACAAAAAGGTAAAAAAATTTGGTCAAATATTTTTTATTTTTATTTACTTTTTTAAAAATATATATTTAAATCCATTAATCAACATATGTATGTGATTAATCAAGTTTTCAGAAATAATAATATATTTCTATTTAAAATATATACAATACTTACTCTGATAAGTTATATATGCTATGAAAGGTTTTCACACATATTAAGATAATCATTAAATTTTCTACTTCCAATTTAAATAAGATATTATTTTATTGGTTACATTAAAAATATAGATAAAATAGAATACTTATAAAATATAAATACGACACGTATAATAAAACAGATTTTAAATTTTACAACGACACTTTAAATAAAGCAGAGTGAGTACTGTTACATGACTGCGATTGAAATATATGAATGTTTGCTTATGAGAAAAAGACCTAGGATATAAAACCATTGTAATAAAATCAAAATTATTTTTTTGGGTTTTGTAAAAATAACTCAAGAATTGAATTCAAATGCAAACATAATCCCTTTTTGTTTGTAATATTTTGTCATGCTATCCCATACAATCCTTCAAAACTTTGAATATTTGAAAATTTCCATTATAATTTAATTTTTTTTTATTTTTGAAAATTATAAAAAAAACATAAACAACGTAACCTTTTTTTTTATTTACAACAATGCCTCTATCATCAATTTCTCCAACCACTATGGATAACCACATTTGAGCTCTGAAAGCTCAAGCATTAAATTCCCATCTTCTTTCTTCTTATTTTACACCAAAATTTTGCATTTCCTCTCCACTTTTATCTAAAAAGATCGCTAACTTTAATTCTAAGAGTATCACCAAAAGACACTCTATAACTTCAAATATGGAGTTTTTGCCTCTCAAAAAAGGAATTCTAAAACTTCAAATTTGAAGTTTTGAGTAGTGAAACGTCAAATATAGAGTGTCACTATTCAAAACTTCAAATTTAAAGTTTCATATTTTATTGCATTTTGGTCCTTATAATTACACATCATATTTATAATAATCTTAAATATTTATTATTTATCGTTTTAATTTTTAAAAATTATTATTTCATAAATAATTCAAAATTAGTTTTATAAATTTAAAATTTAGATATTTTTTTTAAAAAACATCAAGATAATCTTTAAAAAATTTTAAAAAATTTTCTTTGTATTTTAATATTTAATTATATATTTCTATTTATAGTTTTATATTTTAGTGTAACATTTTATCAAAAAGTATTTCTATAATATTTTTATACATGTGCTAGTTATTTATAAAAATTTTATGAATTTGAATTAGTTATGACAAATCTAAGGACTATTATATAAAATACAAATAGGTTTGAAGTTATGTTTGAAGTTTTTCTTTTGGAGTATAACACTTTCAAACTTCAAATATAGAATTTTGCATACTTTATAATAGAGAGTCTTTTTGGAGATGCTCTAAGAAACCCAACTTTCATATTTTGGTGATTCTTTACTAAGAATCATCAAAACAACTTATCTTTGCTCATATGTAGTGTCTAAACGGTGAAAAATATTGGAAATGAGCTTATATCCAAAAAAATGTAATTACTTACATGGTTTACGTTACTATTCAGATATATGTCGGTATAGTAGATTGTTTTATATGTCTAAGATTATGTGTAGGCTTACTATATGCCTTCCTTGCCAACACACATACTAGTTTTGCAAATGACCAAACTTATATTGTGCAGCGCAAACTTCAACAAAACTCCAGGTCTTTACTTTTGAAAACAAAAACAAAAATTGGTAGACTTACGAAGAAATCTGCGGATAAGAAGTTAGTTTTGTATTTGACCAAAAATTTGACTTTTCCTACTAAATTTCATTGGAAGTCTGCATCAAGCAGACTACGGTGAAAATCTTCAAGAGGTCAATTTCGCATTTGACTAAAAATTTGATTTTCTATAGTAGAATTCATATCAAGTTTACTCTATAAAGATATGTTAGTTTTGTGGTTGACCAAAAATGTTAAAAGATTGACCAAAACTTAATTAAAGTATAGATTTCAGGGTTGATTGGTAAGAGCTCTGGATGCTCTATAAATCCATTTTTATGTCTAAAATCATTTTGTAAAGCAATCATGCTTTGACTTTGAAAAATGAATCTAGAGCATAAAAATTAGAAAATGAATATGTTTGCTCTAGAAATCAATTTTTCTACAGTTTTTATTTAGTGTTTTCAATGTCACTGGAAATATTCCTACAACAAAACAAACTAGAGCTACACCATCAACCAATCACAGCCTTCATATTATGTCTACTAATCTTACGAAAGAACATAGACTGCATATAAAATCTACTATTTTATTTTTGTCAAACGCAAAACTAATTAATAGGTTTTGAGAGCAGACTTCAGATAAAGTCTATATTTTGGTAGACTTTCATTAAAATGTACTTATATAAGTCAAGCTTAATCAATTGCAAAACTGATTTTTTTTTCAAAAAGAAATAGCGTAGACTATATATGAAGTCTGCTCTTGAGAGTCAAATACTGTAAGAATTATGGTCAAGCATAAGCTGCATAACTAACATTTTGAGAAGTGTAAATTGCATACTAAGTCTAGTCTTATAGTCACAACTTTTTTCAAACACGGAAAATAATTTACAAATTTTGTAATTGCAAAGTAACCTAAAGAGTAGATTTTTTTGTCAAGAAAAACATTGCATTAAACCGACTTAAATGTGGTTGGTACAGACTTGAGCAAGAGCAAGTTTGGCCAAATAGTCCTCATGAGAAAAGTAATTGCGGTTGCGAAAATTAAAGCGAACAAATTCAAAAAAGTTTGCAGTAGAGATAATATCGGAGACGATTCCATGAAGATCAAAGAACTCCAGTTCTCCTTCAACTGCTGCCACCAATTGCTTAGAGTCGGATTCAAAGACCATCTTCGTCATTCCTAGAGACCTAGAATGGGTTACGGCCTCTCTCAATGCTAGTCCCTCTGCTACAAAGGACGAAATCACAAAGGGGATTGAAGAACTGTGAGATAACATAATCTCTCCATTAGCGTGATAGAAACTCCACGCTATACCGGCTGTCGAGATTCTGGATCGCCAGGCTGCGTCAGATCTGCAGATGATCGCATCCGGTGGGATCTCAAGCAGCGGAGAAGGGTGCTGTCATGGGGGAGGAAGTTCCACTCTCTGAGACTTTTGCCATTCCCTAGCGCTAGATACGGCTTTGTGAATAGATTCTTGGGAAGTGAAAGAGCGGCTCTGGAAAAAATTTTGATTCCTTGTTATCCAAATTGACCAGATCATCCAAGCTGCGAGATGTGTGGTCGAGATGCCTGTGGGAGGGAGTGGTGTAGCTTTCAATACAACTTTGAGACCAGTTCCTATATTTCCAATCGAGTCAACCCTAATCGCTGAGGAGAAGGAGGCATAATTGCAGACTTGCTGAGCGTAAGAACAATGGAAGAACAGATGGAGGATTGTCTCATCTTCATCGCAGAAAGTACACTTGGGGGATGGGATTATTTGTCTAGCGTGTAGCCTGGCGTTCACTGGTATGGCCTCGTGTTTCAGTTTCCAGAGAAACATCTTGATCTTTGGAGGGATTTTTAGTTTCCAGACATCATTCAGCCAAAAACGATCTACGGCAGTTGCTACTCCTTCGTGTTGCCTTTTTGGTTCAAGAGCTGCATAATATCCTGTCTTAGTTGAGTAAGTGCTTGTGTTCTTTTTCAGCCAAATTCTTTTATCTTTGCCTCCATGTTTGCTCGGTTTGATACTAAGAATTTTCTCTTGCATATGGGGGAGAAGGAGTTTGACTTTTCCCGCGTCCCAGTCGCTTTCATTAGGGAGGAAGAGGGAAGCCACTTTGATGAATTCTGAGTCTTTGGTAGGGGGTCCAAAGGGTGATTGCCATTCTAAAGTTGAGAGCCAGGGCTCGTTCCATACATTGACCTCTTCGCCATTGCCAATAGCCCATCCTACGTGATTCTTAATAAGGTCTATGCCAACCAGAATACCTCTCCACCCGTGAGAACAGCTTGATGGGGCTGATACAAGAACAAAGTCTTAGTCAGGAAAGTATTTCCCTTTAAGGACCCAAGCGAGGAGGCATTCAGGTGAGACTAGGAGCTTCCAACTGATTTTTGCAAGCATTGCATCGTTGAAACATTGTATGTCCCTAAAATCCAGTCCTCCATTTTCTTTAGATTTGATCATCGTTTTTCAGTAAATCGAAACCATTTTTCTTTCATCAGGATTAGAGTCCCACCAGAAGCGGGTTAAGGCAGACTAGATCCTTTTGCAGAGGGAGAGTGGGAGTTTGAAGCAGCTCATAGCATGATTTGGAATTGATGAGAGAACGCTTTTAAGAAGAGTGAGTTTCCCTGTCGGGGACAGTTGTCTTGTGGTCCATCCAATGGCTTTCTGCTGGATTTTGTCAACTATGGCAGTGAAGATATTTTTTTTTGTTTTTGCCAAAGTGCTCAGGTAACCCCAAATATTTTCATGTACCACCTTCATTAGAGATTGCAAGTGCTCCTTTTACTTTGTCTTTTAGTTCTTGGGGGGCTTTGTTGGAGAAGGTTATGGCTGACTTCGCTTGGTTAATGCGCTGACCTGAGGCTTGTACATATACTAGCAGGATGTTTTGTAGCGTTTTCACACTTTGTGCGTTTGTCCTGCAGAAAAAAGGGTATCATCTGAAAAAAGTAAGTGGTTTACCCTTGGGCTTTTTTTAGATATTCTGATTCCTTGAAATTTTCCATCTCTTTCATCCTGGTGACATAAACCTGAGAGGACCTCTGTGCAGAGGATGAAGATGTAAGGCGAAAGTGGATCGCCCTGCCTAATCCCTCTCTTGAGAGTCACTTTTCTTCTAGCAGCGTCATTAAGGAGGTAAGAGTAGGAAACAGTGCTGATACATTGCATTATAAGCATCACCATGTGTGGGGAGAAGCCCAATTTGGATAAAACACTCTCGAAGCCCAATTTGGATAAAACACTCTCGATAAAATCTCATTAAAGTCTATCAAATTCTTTGCTCATGTCAGTTTTTACTGCCATTGAGCAGTGTTTCGTGGCTGAGGAGGTCTTTCGGAAGTGAAGGACTTTGTGGGAAATTAAGACGTTGTCTGCAATTGCCCTTCATTTCACAAATGCTGATTGGTTTTCAGAGATTAAACCGTGTAGAATAGGCTGTAGTCTTTTGGAAAGCAGTTTAGAAATTATCTTGTAATAGATATTGCAAAGTGCAATTGGTCTATAATCTGCGAGTGCTTTAGCATTAGAGTTCTTAGGAATCATCCTTACATGAGTTTCATTGATTTTTTTGGTAGGACGCCAGTGGAAAAAAATAGTTGAATCTCTGTAACGATCTCCAATCCGATGACAGACCAGTTATATTGGAAGAAAGTTGCTGAGAAGCCATCGGGCCCTGGCGCTTTGTCAGGGTGAATGGACATGAGAGCTAAAAATATCACCTCCAAAGAGGGAATTTTGGTAAGATGTTCGCTCGCCAGGTTTGTGACTTTGGGTGAAATGGCGGCATCGACGATCTGGTGTCTATGGCCTGGCACCGAAGTGAAGAGGTTGGTATAGTATTGTACCACACACTTGGTAATGTCTTCTTCTTTATAGACCACTTGTCCGGTTCCATTCTCTAATACGTACATTGAGTTGATGGCTTGTCTTCCATATGTAACAGCGTGGAAGAAGCCAGAGTTTTTATCTCCTAGTCTTAACCATAGGTTTCTGCTACGCTGTTTCCAAAACGCTTCCTCTTCTAGGTATGCTCTTTTTAAATCCCCATTGATCTTTGTAATCAGTTGATCGTTGTTGATGGGGTTGGTCATTGCTGCTTCTAAATCTGATTTATGTTTCTCTATCGCTTTTCTGCTGTTAGTGTGTTGTTCTTTACACCATTTTATTAGAGCTTTGCGAACCTGGATAATTCTGTGTTCAACAGAGTCAGAAGGAGAGGCTTTCCATACGCCTATCAAGTCTTAAAAAGCCTCTAGATTTCTTTCTGGTAGTGTCAAAACATGAGACAATGGGCTTATGGTCAGATAAGTAATCACCCGAGTGTTGAAGATCAAAAAGGTCACATGTTGAGAGGAAAGACCGAAAGTCCACAAAAGTGGATCCAGGTCGAGGAGTAGCCCTTGTTTTTACCTGATTCCCAATGATGTCGTTGAAATCTCCGGTTTAGAACCATGGTGAGTCTCTGAGATTTGCGAGGGAGGTTAGAGTATCCCACATTTGCTTTCTATTGCTTTTATATGTGTCCCCGTAGATAAAGGTAGCATAGAACTCCTTATTTTCATAGACGATCTTTACATCAATGAAGTTTTTGCAAGAGGTGATAACAGTCAAGTTTAGCTCAGGTTTCCAGAAGAGGGCCAGGCCTCCTCTTTCATGTCCTTTAGGGGGTACTAATAGGTGATTAGGATGATGAGCCAAATTCAGTTTTCGGAGAAGGAAGTCATCGGGATTCTTTGTTTCCGAGAGGAAGATGATGTCTGGAGATATGTCTTTTCGCATCACCTTTATTTGCTGGACTGTCAAGAAATTCCCCAGCCCTTGGCAGTTCCAGCTTACCACTTTTAAGGAGCTGAAGGTGTGGGAGACCGAAAATCCACTGATCTTCGAACCGCTGGTGGGATTATGGTATAGGAAGGTCGCTGTCCTGCGGCCGCTGGGGCATTTTTGGGAGCAGCTTTTGCACGTGGTGCTTTGGTAGTGGTGGGACGACGCTTAGGTGAGCCCTTGACGTGAGCTACTTTTCGCTTCTTTACACCGAGGCTTACGACTCCAAGAGATAAGGTGGGTTGGTTCCTTCTACCAGGGGGTCTTCCTAGTCTCTTTTTGATTGAGGTTGTGGTGGTGTTTTCTGCAGGAGCCATCGTTTGAGTGGATGGTGAACTTATTCTCTCCAAAGCAGAAGGTCTCTGGTTTAGAGACTGATGGGTTTCAAGTTGAGATGATGATGGTCCAAGCCGTTCCAGAGCAGACGGCTTGGTGTCCGGCTGTGGAGAGTGTATCGATTGCCTATTATTGATGTTTGACATCACCATATTGATAGCGGTTTGTTCAATTTCTCCACTTTCCTCAGTGCATCTTAGTCTTTCTTTTCTTGCAGCACTTTCGGTTGGATCAGCACAGTTTGAGTATCTTATCATAACTTCCCTGAGTTCCTTTTGTGCTTCCCGGAGAGCGACCTCAGTGACAGGAGCGGAGAGAGGAGAGTTTCGGGGGGAAGATGTTTTATGACTCCCCGAGCCAGAGGGAGCCCCTTCTCTTACAACTCTAGGGGAGTTGAGGGGTGAGATCATGTTCCTACTGGCGGTAATAGCTGGTCTCTCATGGCTTCTGGAGGGGCCAGAAGGAGGAGGAGGAAGTCTTCTTCCTGAGTCAACCCCATGGGAGCGATATTGTGATGATCTGGCATTGTGGTAATGTGAGTAGTTTCTTCCAGAGTTATCTCTTATGTCACCACCATGATGAATGTTTTGTCGCTGACTATAGTAGTCTCTTCTCCTTGAAAGGTCAGAGGAGACAGAACGAGCAGGTCTAGCATTGGGTCTAGTTTCTCTGTGGTGAGAGGTTTGAACAGTGGTCCTATTACGAGAAGCGTTAACCTTGTGGTTGACAGCATCATGAGTTGTCTTTGGAGGCACAGGGTTTTGAGGGCAATCATTTTTTTCATGGTCAAGCATGTGACAAATACTGCAGTGTTTCTCAAGCTTTTCGTACAGTAGGTTCGTGACAACTTCATCTGCATTGGAGAACTCCAGTGTAGATTTGAGTATAGGAGGAAGAAGGCCGTTTACACGAGCTCTGAGCTTGGCCTTATTGGGGGTAATTTTCCAGCTTTCGAAGAAACCAATGTCTTCTCCGATGCTATGGAGGATATCTTCATTCCAGAGGTGGACTGGTACCCCTTGGACTTGTATCCAGAAAGGGATCTGAGATGGGAATGTTGGAGAGGTAGTGGGTTCCGATTTTCAATGATGACTATTCAGTGGGCAAAGTGATATGGTCTGTTATCAAGAATTTTTTTGAGATCCTCCTGGTTGCTGAATAGGAATTGAAACCTTCCATCTCCTAGATCTGCTCCGTCTGGTCTTACGGAGCAGTTCCAATGGTCTGAGAAGAAGGGAATGAGCGACCACATCCTTTGGTATTTTGGATTTGTAACTCTCCCATTGAGCGTGAGCTCGTGCTTTTTCAGCAGTTCAAAGTTGTCAAAGTCGGGGACTTGTACTCTCCCTCTTCTAATAGGTGAATGTTGACCTTGAATGCTTTTCCCTTTCTCAGCAGCTGATAGTCTTCTCGTCATCTTGAGAAAACAGATTAGGTATGGTTCTTCGCTGAGCGAGATATATTAAAACTGTAAAAAGTAGTGTTTTTTGTTGGGAAAACATGAAAGTTCTCAGAGTAAGGACTCTAGAGGGTTAGTATTAGTCACCAGAACATATGATAGTGAATGGACGGCGA